TGGAGGATTTCGCACTCCCACTTAGGACCTGTTCCATTCTCCTGGGTTATTTTGAGTTTAGACTTCTGACTTTGACTGGCTGAGTCATTCAGTTTTACTGTAGTTCCCTGCTTACTCTATTTTATCTCCTGGTTCCCTAAGAAAATTTATCTGGCTTGTGTTACTTAATTTCTTTCCTGAGACTATTATTCCTACCCAATGAAGAGGAAATTTTGTCAATAACTCCATATTCAGATCTTAATTCATCCACTTGTGACTATTAGATAAACCAGTCACCGTGAAATGAACTCCAATGCATGCTGACCCCACGTGCATCATAGAACTTTACTCCACGAGGTTCTCCATGGCTGACTGGCCAGAAGTAGAATGCCAGGACTTTATCCTGACCTACTTCTGGGTAAACTTGAACCATCAGCAGCTCAGTTAGCAGCCAAGCACGTTTAACGGTTTGTACCACCCAGAGGTTCCATAAGCTAATTAAACCAAAAATCCATTGCTGTTGAGTCAACTCATAGCAACCTAGTAGGACAGAGTAGAACTGCCCCATAGAGTTTCTAAGGCTGTAATCGTCATAGAAGCCAACTGCCACATCTTGCTTCCAGAGAGAGGCTGGTCAGTTCAAACTGTCCACCTTTCAATTAACAGCTGAGTACTTAACCCCTACACCAGGGCTTCTACAATCAGGTCACTCACTTCTTAAATGAAATTGTTGTTGTTGTTGTTGTTGTTGTTTGCCATCAAGTCGGCCCCGACTCATAGCGACCCCTCCTTGGGTTTCCGAGGCAGTATCACTACGGAGGTAGGAATGCCCAACCTTCCTTCCGAGGAGTGGCTGGTGGGTTTGAATGAAATAGTGATAGAGAAAGGCCCTAGCTTACCAGACACTCAACAAATATTAATGTAGAGGCTTTTGTGCGTGGAAAGGAAGGTTTAAAGCTGCTTTTAATTGATTATAATATTTTAAGCTGTAAACTTACAACTTGTTTTCCTTACACAGTTAAATGCAACTTCCCAATATAGCAAGCTTAATTACATATCTAGTAATTTATGTGTTAAAAATTTAAAACACTTACACTGATCTTTTATTAATGTTCACTTATCCCCAAAAATTAATTAATTTCCCTCAAATGATTTAAGCACTGATAACAATCAAATTCTCTTAAACACTTGAAAGTTTAAAAAAAAAAGACAAAGAAAATAAATCTCTAAAAATTTAAGGAAGCAAATTCTCATACACATTTAAACACTATTTACGAACTTGTAAGTTAAGTTCTCTTAATTTGTTTAAGTAGTACTTGAAAGGTGCAAATGGTTACATATTTCAACCTACAATGGAAAATTGAATACACCTGATTCCCTTAAGTCCTTCAAGTGCCTTCATATGCAGTAAACTCTTGAAAATCTACTAAATCAATAAGTATCCACTTAGTAAATCAAATGTTCTTTGCATATTAGCAGACTCAAAATCAAAGTAAATTTCATTGATTCCATTTAGTTAATTATCCTCACTATTTCAAATCCAATTAGGCAGAGACTCATAAATGTTTCAAACACCTTACACAGTTTACATATTCAATATGAATGTATTCGAATATGTATTCGAATACATATTAAACAGTATCATTATTACAAAAACTTGTTTTATCCGTATATATGCAACTTACACAAAAGTATGAGTATATAAGGACAATTCTTTCCATACTCCCATCTGAAAAGAGTCATCTCAAGGCCTCCAAAGCAACTGAAGTTATTCATTTGCGGTTGTCAGTGATTCGAGACCAGGGTTGTGGATTCAGAGATTGAGGCCAAAGACTGGAAGAGCAGAACATGGGTGCTCCTCCCCAAGGATTCAGCTCACCTTGCATGTGCACAAGGAGGCCTTGGCTGGCACAAATGGTTGAGAACTGGGCCAAACCAAAAGTTTGGTGGTTCAAACCCACCCAGAGACACCTCAGAAGAAAGGCCTGGCATTCTGTTCTGAAAGGTCACAGCCTTGAAAACCCCCTGGGGCACCGTTCCACTCTGACTCAGATAGGGTCATCATGAGTTGGAAACCACTCGATGGCAACTGGTTTGATTTGGTTTTGCATGTGAGTAAGCTGCACCCTGTCCTACATTCAAGTTCTGCTGCTATGACAACAAGGCACCCCTAGCTCCAGCTTTCAGTTGGTATTGAATTTCATTTTTCAAGCCCTACTCTTACCCAATTTTTGTCATTATCTTTCTCAAATTGTTACCACCTGATTTGAGTAAACGGAATTTCTCACTCTCCCATCTGGATTATAACTAATCTCCTTGCAGACGGATTTGCTTTTGAAGACATTGTATTTTCTTAATAGCTTTCATTCACCCATTCAACTACTATGTATTGTGCACCTACTATGCACTAAATGAGAAGAAAGGTCTGGTGATCAAGTTCTGAAATGTCACAGCCATTGAAACCCCTATGCAGCACAATTCTATTCGGCCACATGAGTCAGAACTGATTCTGCAGCAATGGGTTTTGGGGGAGGTTTACTAGGTGCTGAAGCCTGCGGGTAGTGCAGTTAACATGCTCAGCTGCTAGCCAAAAAGCTGGAGGTTCAAGTCCCATTTGGGACCCAATATTTTCTCTGTTATCATGATGTTGCCTCAGAAAATCCTGGTATCTACTTCTAAAAAAATCAGCCACTAAAACTCCTACGGAGTGTAGCTCTGCTCTGATACACAGGGTCTCCGTGCGTCAGAGTCGACACACTGCAATGGGTGGTTTCTATGTACTAGTTGCTGGGGATACAGAAATGAACAAAATAGACAAAAACACCTGCCTTCGTGGTCCTTGCATTCTAATGTCAGGACAGAAATCATAAGCAAAATTAAAAAGTCATGTGTATACAGCTTGTTAGAAGGTAACAAGTGCTGTGAGAAAAAATAATAATAATAAGCAGAGAAGGGGAATAAGGCACACTGGCGGAAAGAGAAGGAGCTCTGGTGACATAGTGCCTAAGGCCTTTGACTGCTAACCAGAAGGTAGGTGGTTCAAACCAAACCACCAGCCACTCCACGGAAGAAAGACTGGGCAATCCACTTCTGTAAAGATTTACTGCCTCAGAAACCCAAAGGGGATCACTCTGAGTCAGAATCAACTTGACAGCGAGTTTGTTTTCTGGTTTGGGGGAAAGAGAGTTTTAGTTTTAAATAGGATAGTTAGACGTTTGAGCCGAAACTTGAAAGAGATGAGGAAAGGAGCCATGTGCCTGAGCAAGAGTTTCCAAGGAAAGAGAAGAGCTTGGTGCAAAGGTCTGGACTCACACTTGTTGTTGTTGTTGTTATGTGCCATTGAGTTGGACTCAACTCATAGCGACTCCTTCTTGGGTTTCCAAGGCAGTATCACTACGGACTAGATTGCCCAACCTTCCTTCCGAGGAGTGGCTGGTGGGTTTGAACCGCCAGCCTTCTGGCTAGCAGTCAAGTGCCTTAGGCACAATGCTACCAGAGCTCACACTTGGCATATCCTAAAGAAGGAGGCGGCAAGTGTAGCTAGAACAAAGTAAATGTGAGAAGAGTAAGAAAAGAAGACCAAGATAAGAGAGATGAACAGGGGGTGGCAAATGCTTTGAGGGCCATTGCGGGGATTTTTACTTTTTTCTGTGTGTTACCAGAATCCTGCCAGCTGCTCCACTGATAATAGGGAAGCAGGACACCAGTTAAGAGCAATGGCAATTATCCAGACAAGACATGATGATGTCTTGGATTGGGTAGGAAGTCAGTAAAGATTTTCATCCTTTCAAGACTGAATTATTTTCTGCTTTGAATTTTTTGTTGAAACCATGTTTCAGTAATGGAAGTTATTTTGAATGACTTTGAAGGAAAAAAAAGTTGTTTTGAGATAATATGAATTTGGATACAATTAGTGGGACACATATGTCCTGAGGGATCTTTGGTGGTGGGGTTGGCAGGATGAGGCCTGTTTCTTCAGAAGCATGCATTTATATAGGTCCCTACCAGACTGTAGCACGCACTAAAAGTGGGATAGCAGCTTCCCACTAAATCCCAGATGTGGAAAATGTACATGGACACTATATGTCCCATGGGTCATGAAAGGGTTAAAAGTAGAGGCCATATGATTTGCTAATAGATTGGATGAGGAGTGAGAAGCAAAAAAAAGGTCAAAATTGGCTAGGATGTTTTTAGGGAAAACAACTGAAAGATTGAATTGCCATTACCTGAGATAAAAAATACTTTCTTATCTAATTGAGCCTTATTATTAATATATTAACACCATGCACCATGATAGATAAAAAACCAAATGCACTGCATATGAGTTGGATCTGACTCATAGCAACCCCTCTTGGTGGTGTCACTACAGAAGCCCTTCTGAAGAGTGGCTGGTGAGTTTGAACCACCAGCCTTCTGGTTAGCAGTCAAATGCCTTCGGCATTATACTACCAGAGTTCCTGGGCATAAATCATTGACATATTAAGTAACTATCCTCCTCCTAGCAGGGACTTAAAAAATCCAATTTGAAAAAAAAAAAAAAAGTGGACAGGAATTTTTTTAATGTTAAAATATAATGTCATTCATGATATCTTTGCAATTCAAGGTGGCTGAAAGAAAGGAACAAAACAGGAAAATAGAGCGCTAAGCTGTGTCTGATAAACCAAAGGCTTGTAAGAAAATATACAATATGGAAAGGCATCGATTTACAGTAAGATGGTACATTCGTAAAACTGCTAGAGGGTAAACTGAGAACAGGGTAGCATGGAGGTGTCTCATAGAGCACATCTGGTAGACTCAAGAATCTAGACCTTATCCTAAGAGGGATCGGAAACCCTTAAAGTGTTTTAAGCATGAGCTTCATATGATGGGATTGAGGTGGGATTTGGGAAGCAGTCTGTCACTTAGAGAAAGATGTGGCTTTTCAGATGTAGAATATGTTAAAGCTACCTCTTTGACGTGAATGTTAATAACCTTGCTTCTCCTCCTCTTGTTCAGTGTCATATGGAAAACACACCAGTGGCATGGCATCGGGGCAGAATCACACTACAGTGACGAGTTTCATCCTGCTAGGCCTCACAGACCAGGCAGCCCAAAAACAACTCCTCTTTGCCGTCTTCCTCCTGATCTACTCCGTGACTCTGGTGGGCAACCTGGGCATGATAGACCTGATCCGCACAAGTTCTCCACTCCACACACCCATGTACTTCCTCTTGAGTGTGCTCTCCTTCCTTGACATCTGCAACTCCTCTGTGTTTACCCCCAGGCTACTGAACAGCTTTCTCACCACTGACCAGTCCATCTCCTTTACAGGCTGTGTGGTCCAGATGGCCCTCATGATCCTCCATGGCACTGGAGAGTGTTTGCTTTTGGCCATCATGGCCTATGACCGATTCGTGGCCATCTGCCACCCTCTTCTCTACCACACTATCATGTCCAAGCGCTTGTGTGTCCAGTTGGTGGTGGTCACCTATGCTGTAGGTATGTTCATTTCATCTGTACAGACAGGAAATGCCTTCAGCCTGCCTTTCTGTGGTCCCAACATCATCGATCATTACTTCTGTGACATCCCCCCAGTGCTCCAATTGGCCTGCTCAGATACCACCACAGCCAATATCATCTTGCTCTTCTTTTCTGCCTTGGTCACTGTTCCCACAGTCTCAGTCATCTTGGTCTCTTATGCCTACATTCTGGTCACAATCTGTAGGATGAGGTCCCTGGAGGCCCAACGCAAAGCCTTCTCCACCTGTGCCTCTCACCTCACTGCCCTCTCCCTCTTCTACGGATCCGTGTTCCTTGTATATGTCCAACCCAATCCTGAGAGTGCTTCAGCCTATAACAAGATCCTCTCTGTCTTCTACACCATTGTGATCCCCATGCTGAATCCCCTTGTCTACAGCCTAAGGAATAAAGATGTCAAGGCTGCTGTAGAAGTTAGACTTCTTAACCTAAGCAGGAAAGGAATTTGTCAGAAAGGTCTCTGGTAGTTTATAAAATAGAAGCCTAGAGAACCCAGATGGGAGAGGAACCAAGAGAGGCAAGGCACAGCAAAGATCCTGCCGCAAGTATGGTGTGTGTAGACTGCCACCGCTGTGGTCATCACTTTGGACACTCTCCATTGCTACAGCTAACACACTGCCTCTGACCATGCACTACTACTCTGCTGCTGGACAAAGCCACCCCTACAGTAGCTACCATGCCACACTCTCTTGCATCCAACCATATCTCATCTTTCATCATCTTCTCAAGATCAAGTCCTAGACAGCAGCATCCATCTGTGTGGGCACTGATACCTTATACCCGCTGATATCCTACATCCAGCATGGATGTCTTACATCTACCAATATCATAATCCACACTTCTAGAGATAGAAATAGGCCCTCCTTTCACTTCAGAATTGGGAGCTGGATTCTATCTTCCTCCCATCTTGAAATTTCTCAAAAATAGAAAGAATTACTGAATACCAACAGCAAAAATTATATATCTCAACCAGAGTAGTCATCCCTACAAGTTTCTACAGGGAATATTGCCTTCCTGAGTATATGATATTATAGAAATGGTCCTTGGAATTTGGCGGTCTGGGAAGGAGATAGTAATCACTTAACTTCATGGGAGAAAATGGAGTCTTTGATACAGAAATCTCCACCATAATTAGCAAGGGACCAGAATGTGGTCTACAGTGATGGTGAACTACCATTTTCCAATAAGTGGCCGATTTATAATAAAAAGAAATAAGTAGCTAAAAGGCCACATTACTTCTTCAATCAAAATCAGATAACTTTTATGGCTTTAAACAAAACTCTTTTTATCGTAACATAAGACAATCTTACTCATTTAAGGAAGAAAAAAAAAGGAAGATTTACTGTGTGAAACCCAGATGTCAGCTGAGGCTCCTTATCTTTTTGAGCTTCAAATAAAATTGGCTTCCACCCTGTTATGGTTAATTTTGTGTCTCAGACTAAGAACCAACAGGCTTCCCAAGAATAGGTTATTAAGTGACCTAACCAGTGACGTCACTAGGGTCACCCCTCCCCTGGAGCCCCTCCCATATCAGACCATACAGAATCCTTTGCAACGTTTATTATCAACTTTAATCATAGAATAATGTGTAAAATAATCGGAAATTTCTAAAACGTATTTCTTAGATTATGTGAATACTAACAACATAATTGTTTTGTAAAATCTTTCTACCTTGAATTACAATTTATTAGTTACATTATTCAAAATAGAAAAGCCTTTTCTTATTTTTCTCCTTTTCCTTAAATTACCACTTCTCAAAATGTAATTTATATAAGTTCACAAATGCTAATTATCACAATATTGTAGCTAAAACACAGGAAAATTTGACAAAATCAGCGATATAAAACACCGGCAGCAACAATAACAATAGCGCATGCTTGTAGCACGTGCAGATGAAACCATGTGACTCAGAGAGTCATTGTAACTGGGGAATAATGACAGCTCTGACTGGAGCACGTTAAACCAAGAAAAGCGAAACCCACTGCCATTGCCTCCGTACCTACTCTTAGCAACCCCAAAGGACAGAGTAGAACTGCCCCATAGGGTTTCCAAAGCTGTAAATTTTTATAGGGAAGCAGACTGCCTCATCTTTCTCTAGCAGAGCAACTGGTGGGTTGGTATATGCTGACCTTTTGGTTAACAGCCCAATGCTTTAACCACATTGCCACCAGAGTTCCTGGAACAAGGTTTGAAAGGTAAATTAGCACAGTTTTAGCCTTGTAGATACATTGATGCATGTAAGCTGGGCTTAAGGAGCTCTGCAGGTGTAGTGGTTAAGGCATTTAGCTGCTAACCTAAAGGCCACCAGCCACTCCAAGGAAGAAAGATGAGGCAGTCCGCATCCGTAAGGATTTACAGCCTTGGAAACCCAACTGGGGTCACTATGAGTTGGAATCAACCCAATAGCAGTGAGTTTGGTTTTGGGTTTGGGGTTTTTTTCAGCAGCTAGGCTTATGAAAAAAAATGTTTTTGTTGCTAGAATTAATCACAAGGATATTTCTCTTTAAAAAAAATAATAAATTCCCACTGAAACACTGCACAAACATTTTGTAGACAGTCATTTGGATCTCACCTCCTCTGACAGTGTCACCCAGTGTGGTCCACATCCTCCATACCCCATTAGTGTGTATCATTAAACCTAAAAGGAATGGAGGAAAGATAAGACAGAGAGGTGAGTGCAGGAACAGCTGATGGCATGGCAAAGTTAGCCCAGGGAGGCAAAGCAGCCAACTTCTTTGGCCCCATGAACACTGTCCCATCATGGAGTTCCACCCTCTCCCCTGCTCTGCCTTCACCTGAAACCATCTACCACAGAACGAGATAGGAGTCGTTGGCATGTTGGTTTGAAATTAAGTCCAAGTGTTACTTCTCTCAAAAGCATTTGAATTAAATTTTTATTTACACTATGTCTTTTTTTTTTTTTTTTTAATTATGATTTGGGTGAAAATTAACAGAGCTAATTCACTTCCCATACAGCAGTTCACGTACATTTTGTCTCATGACATTGACCACAATTTACCACAATGCAACAGCTCCCCTCCTACTTCCTCCCAATAGTTACCTCCCTCCCTGTGTCCATACCTCCCTGCACTCCTGCCCCCTGAGCTGTCTCCCTGTGTGTAAGTAGCCCTTCTTTCTCCCATGATTGTTCTCTCCAAGGAGTGTATCTACCTCAGGTAAATGTTCAACTCATATGCCTGTCTATGTTTGGCTGGAAGCCACAGGCGAATTTACACTATGTCTTAACATCACCCACAGCCCAGCCACTACCTACGAATCTGGAACTTTCTATTGAGAGGAAGTAGGACTAAAGGAAGAAAGAGGCACAGACCCAGCTGCAGGTGCTGAAAGGAAAAACAATTGATGGTCAGGCTGGGAAACCAAAGGACTGATGTACAACAGACCATAGTCCTAGCACACAGTGGATGTTGAGTGATTATTGTTGCCAACAACTTATTCTGTTGCCTAAGGTAAATGAGTTATCCCATAAGACTTTAAGGTCTGCCCTGTGTAGAACCCAGATGTGATCCCTACAACTTCATGTTTATAAACGGAAAGGGAAGCAAACTTTGAACTCCTTAAGTGCTAATCTTGTTCTCAAGGGTCTCAAGCCCATTTATACTAATCCTAGAAGCTCTTGGGAGAGGGAATACTGTAACAAAGCAGGGAGTTAGCCCTTGGTTTGGAATCTGTTCTGGTTCCCTAGTACTGCTCTAACAGAAATACCACAAATGGGATGGTCTTAACAAACAGGAGTTTATTCTCACCGTTTGGAGGCTTTAAGTCCAAGTTCAAAGTGCCAGGCTCTAGGGGCTGTGTGAAAGCCCCTCAACTTGAGCTTCAGCTCTGCTTCTTGCTTTTGGCCCACTGAAGCGAGAGGCCTAGCTTCACTCAGACAGGTGCTGGCTGCTGAGGCTAACAAGCCTAAGGTCAACAAATAAAATGGCACAGTCCCGATGTTACCAAACCACATGGCAGGCCATTAACTCAAGTCCATTGTAAGTCCAAGGTCGGCAGAGCATGGCAGGCTGCTGAACAATGACACGGCTATGCACAGAATCCAAGAGTGCCATAAGCTACAGACCATGCCCCAAGGCGTCTCCTTATATACAGGAAGCAGACCACATCCCTAGGGCAGCTACTCAGCTGCTCACAGTAGATTCCACCACAGAGTTGATGACCAGTCTCATCATGGGAAATACTACATCCAGCTGCCCAGCCACTCAACCAGGCCCAGCCAAGTTGACACACAGACTTAACTACCATAGGATCTTTATGAAAAAATGTCAAGCTCTCCAGCAGCTGACAGCTGTCACTCAGAAAGTGAGATGTCTCTCCAAGTATGATTTCTGGGGACAACCTGGGGCAACCATTTATAAACTCCTAGCTCTCTCTTTGAAGTAGTCAGGCACCTACAAATCCCCACTGGCTCATGTGTGAATGAAGGAACACAGGATGAAAGGAATCAAATGTATGAGACAGGGGCCTTCTCTCAGAGAGAGAGTACAAGACATCATCAGCTGAAGCTGATCAGAGGCATAGCATCACAGGGAGGGGCAGACAACCCCTAGAAGATTCTTGGACCCTGCCAGGAAGTAGTCATTCCTCTTCCTCCACAGATCAGAGTAATGAGCACTGATCCTTCTCTCCAGAGTGTCACAGGTCCTGTTGTGACACTCACCATCTCTAAGACCTCAGAGAAACTAACCACCAGACCCAAGAAACTGGGCTAGATGGGAAGCGAGCCTGGCTCACAGACAACGTGGGCATGTTTTTGTTGTGTGCCACTGAGTCGATTCTAACGACTCATACTGACCTTATGTGACAGAGTGGAACTGCCCCATAGAGTTTTCTTGATTGTTACCTTTACAGAAGGAGATCATCAGGTCTTTCTCCCATAGAGCTGCTGGGTGGGATGGAATCACCAACCTTTTGGTTAGCGGCCAAGGGCTTAGCTGTTGCACCACTAGGGCTCCTTATGCTCTGTAAAGACGGATTTGCTCAGTAGAAGGGTCACTTGTCAATTCACTAGCCAATCTCAGGCCCCATTCTTCTACTCTATCATGTTCATAAAGTGTGGTGTTTATCCTCATTCTGAGAGGTTGCAGAGTCCGTGGAGATTGGCTATAAGTTTCAAGGCCAGCCCTCAAGTCATTATTACTCAGAAGTTCTGTGCCCACAAATCTGTGAAGTGCTACCACATGAACAATATGGCTGAGGTATGACCTCGGGGTCTGAACAGTGTGGCTTCCCTCAAGTGTTATTATGGCTTCCAACGGCAGAGTTTGCTGTTCTACTTATTTGTCCTTTTAAGCTCAAAAGTATAATTCTTTATAAAAGTGACTCCAATCGCTTTACTTACAAAATACCTGCCCCCTCCCAAAAAAAAAAAAAAAAAAATGCTATGAGTGGGGCTGGAGGGCTCTTGAGCAGTGCTGCAGGAAAACCACGCCATGAAGAGAGACCA